TAGGCGGACGATTTCGCCTTCAAGTTTGCGGAACTCTTCTTCTTTGGCGTTGAGCATGTTGGTTGCGTCGAGGGAGCGGGCTTCGGATGCTTCCTTTTCTGCAGTCACTGCTTGCAGAGCAGCTGTGGCTTGGTCGGTCCTTTGCGTCAATTCGGCAAGTTGAGTTTTGAGAGTTTCTCCTTCGCCGCGGGCTTCCCTTAGCTCCTTCTCAAGCATGAGGGCGCGCTCCTGGGCATCCCGTACTTGGGCCTCGTAACCAGCAGTGCGTTTCTCTGCCTCTTGTGACGAGAGATTGTATGTACTATTACGTTGTTGGTGATCTTTGAGTTCTTCTTCGTACGAAGCAGCGCGCTTCTCAGCTTCTTGGAGCTTGCTCTGGTAATTTACAGCCTGTTCCTGGACATCCTTGAGCTGGTTCTCGTAGGCGACGACACGCTGCTTGGCCTCCTTCAGCTCCGATTCGAATGCAATCACACGCTCTTGTACATTGATCAGCTGGGCCTCAAGCCCCGCATTACGTTCTTGTGTCTCGCGCAGAACCTCTGTATCGGCATTGCCCTTTTGCGCATCAAACTGCGACAATTGGCTCATGGCCCGCTCGAGTTCATCTTCCATTGACTTCTTTTCTGACCTCGCACTGAGAATTTGAGTATTGAGGCGCTCAAAGTCTGCCTCTTTTTGCGCATCAGACTTGCTATTGAGCTCACGTTGCTGCTTGATTTGGCGCAGAAGAACTGACTGTTTCTCTTTGAGACTCGTAGCGCGCTTAAAGAGGAATTGAATCTTTGACGAAAAGGCGAGAAGCGAGTACTGTTCATTGCTGTTGAAGTCTTCATCGGGAGAGAGCTGTTCATCGGCATCTGGGTCTTCAGAAAGCAGTCGGCGCCGCTCACGCTTGCGTTCGAGCGCTTGCTCCTCACCAGTTCGGATCATGTCCCACAGACCCTTGATTGTACTCTCGTACTTCTCAGCCTTTTCAGAGTCCTCGCCCATGGAAGGACCAGAGCCAAGTTCCTTGATGCGCTCAGCCATGGCAAACTGAATCTGTTCGAGGTTGTAGAACGTATCCTCCATGTAGTTGAGCTGCTCTGTGGAGCTATTGCCGTTAATTGCTGGTGGTGGGAGTATTTTCTCATTTTGTTCATTCTCAGAGCGGGAAAGGACCGAATAAAGTTGGTCGTTGATGTTCCCCAGACGACCTTCGACCTCGCTGAGCGTCTGTCTGGCATTTGTGCGGATATTGGCTTGTTCTACGCTGATGTTGCGAATACCCTGGTCGAGAAAGTCGAGCTGGCGGTCAATGGTTGAAGCATCCAATGTTCCTTCAAGCACAAGTGGCGGCAAAGAGTAATCCTCGTCCCGTTCTGGGTTGGCTTCGATGATGAGATTACGGAGTCGTTCATTCATTTCTTGGAGCCGCGTGGCCAGTGCGCCAAATGCTTGATTCGACCGCTCGGGTTGGTGGTGTGTTCCGTTCTGGAGTACGGCCATAAGATTGTCGAGGTTCTCCGGGGTTCGGTAGAGGCTTCGTTCGTCAAAAACACCCGCGCCCATGCCGTTCAGCCGGGTATCATCGTACGTGTCGAGGCTGGCGGGGCTGTCCGGTCTCCGAAAGCGATCCTCTGACGACTGGTCGTTTTCTTCGCGCTGCTTGGGTCCCTTGTGCGTGAGTTGGAGCACGGCGGCCGTGTGCATGAGCAATTGCATGTCAATCATGCGCATGCGAGATTCAATCTCCAGACACTCGCGGATAAACTCCTCGACCTTGCGGTTGCTCGATTCCAAACCCTCCTGCTCTTTGGCATCATAATCAGGGGCTGAATTACTGCCCTTGCTGGCCAGGCCTCTCTTGTGGCCGTTTCCCTTTGTGCCAGCGAGGCGACCGAGCGAACGGGTGGCATCGCGGATCTTGGTCTCGGACTCGAGTTTGCGACGGACGGTGGCCAGGCGGGTGTCGAGCACCTTCTGCTCCTGCTTGAGCGCGTCGACCTCCTCGACGGTGAGAATGTCAAACTGCTGGCTGTCTCCTATTGCCGTCTCGACCAGCAGGTGCATGGCGACAGGGTCGGTGTTGAGGGCATCGAGGCCGCGCTTTCCCGAGTTGCGTGGTGTGTACATGCCGTTTTCGCGGACAGTTTCCCGGCGGCCGTCTACAAAGACGTCTGGAGGAGGAATGAAGGCGCTGGTGCCGAAGCGCGGTGAGATTTGGTAGGCCATGGGGAAGAAGCTAGGCGACGGAGCCTCAACACCAGACGGGTAGTTTGACGTAGGCGAAGGGAAGCCGTACTGGGGACGGGGGCTGAGAGCGTCGCCCGCATAGGGGAACTGGGTGCGCAGGCCATTGTTGCTCATGGTGGCTCGCAGTTGCAGTCGCAGCGGGCGGCGAGTGGGCGAGTCGAGGCGGTGGGGAGCGGAGAGGGTGCGGAGAGAGAGGGCGACGGGGGCGCAGAGGAACAGGATGCGCGTAGCAGCCAGCGAGAGAGTTGGGGCCTCACGGGGCGCGAGGCATGGCGGTGGAGGGTGGCAGCGAGTGTTGAGGAGAGGGCCGGCGCTTCGACTCTACTCCATATGTATTAGAGCAGCATCGAAGTTGGCCTCAATGCGGTGCAATGCCGCCCGTCAAGGGGCGGGAGATTCGCTGCTTCATGCGCTTGGCAGGCACACACCCATCCACATCCACATCCACATCCCCACTACCGCCCAGCCCGTCTCGGTCCTGGGCTTCGGATTCACATTCGCTGGCCGGCCCGTTTTCTTTTGACTCAACTATGGCCGCCACCTGCTCTCCTGCCCGAATGCGCCCCCCTCATCCTCGCGCGCTTGCTGCTGGCTGTTGCGGCTGCGACTCCGACGACGCGTCATTCTCTTAACGCCAAAGCTGACCATCATGAGCGCACGACCAACTTACTCGCAGGCTCAGATAGCCCGTTATTTCGATCGGCTCAAGCTACCGCAGGAACAGCGCCGGTATAGCGTGGCCGGCCTTCCCGACGCCGACGTCTTGAACTACCTGACGCTGCTCCAGAAGCTGCATCTTGCAGAGATTCCCTTTGAGAACTTTGCGCTGCACTACTCAACCCACCACTCAGTGTCCGTGCACCCCGAGCAGCTATTCAACAAGATCATCGGTGACGACAATGGCCGAGGTGGCTACTGCATGGAAAACAACTGTCTTTTCGGCACCCTGCTGACCTCGCTCGGATTCACTCTCTACTCGGGCGCCGGTCGCGTCTTCGAGGGCACTAGCTCGGGGGGTTGGATGCACTACATCAATTTTGTCACCATTGGCGATACCAAGTATCATGTTGACGTTGGCTTTGGCGGCGATGGTCCGATTGCGCCCATGCCTCTGGATCCCAAAGGTATTGTGCAGAAGCACATTCAGCCTGGATCCGCTCGCCTCCAATGGCGTAACATCCCTGGTAACGTGGATCCCAACCAGCGTGCCTGGGTCTACGAGTACCGGAGAAGCGACGACAGCGACTGGGAAATGAAGTACGCCTATTCCGAGCTCGAGTTCCAGGCGCAGGACTATGTTGCCATGAACTACTGGACCAGCACTAGCCGGCACATCTTTTTCACAACCAAGATTTTAGCACTCAGGAATATTCTTGAAGACGGCGAATTGATAGGCAAGATGAGTATGGTAGCCGCTACGATGAAGTGGAACATACGTGGGAAGAAGACTAAGGAAATCGAGTTCAAGAGCGAAGCAGAGAGGGTCGAGGGGTTGGACAAGTACTTTGGCATCAAGCTCACGCAAGCAGAGCGCGACGGCATTGCTGGTCTGCCTTCCGAGATTAAATAGTAAAGAATTGATTGCTTAACATCTACCGGGTCCAGGTCCGTGTCGCTCGACATAGTGCGTCGTGAGTGTGCTAGACAAGTACATGGGCCTAGAGGAATCGTTGCTCGCACTGGGGCGTGGTTAGCATCAACCTGACTGTATGTCGTCTGGTCTCGGTACGTACTCTCCACGGGTTGTTGAGTTCGAAGCCGGCGGGGGCGACGGGCTTGTCTGTCTGGCCACGCATGAAACCCGTCAGTCGGCGGTCGCGTTCCATCACTGGCGTCTTGTGAGTGCATGTATGGGATGAGGTCATGGGGGAGTGGAGTGGTACTTTGCTGTAGCCATGTTAGCAGCCGCTCGATGCGCCTTCAGCGCTCACAGTCCACAACTCACCCTGTCCCATGCATCGATACCCCGTCGCTTCCGCTTTCCTCCGTTCTGAATCTCCTGGAGCTTTCCGACCGACACTGCGCTGAAGGCGAAGAACTGCAGCCCGGTTAGTCATCTCCCCCGCCCGCCGCAGCCCGGCGCCATTGACTCACGCCAGTCATGATAGCATAGGGTAGCAGAGCCTCGAATGGGACACCCATGGTTGCGGTTGTGTATATGCAGTCGCAGTGGTGCTGTGGGGGTGGTGGTGGTTGTCAATGTCGTCGTCGTCGACTGCGAAGCTAGAGCAGAGGTGCCGGCGTCGTCAACTGAGGATGCGGCCGTGCGTGTCTTGGCCTCCCCGACCTACGGGCAGAGAGAGAGCCACTTCAGACGACCAGAACGCTCCGCCCACGCGGTTTCCAGACGAGCTACAATTATTGCCAGTGTCGCGCCGACTCCCACTTTCATACGAACCACGGATCCCGATATCTTGACCTCGCCTCTCCGCGGAACAATTGCGCCCGCTGCCACTGCCCTCCTCCGCCTTCCCCACAGCACCCAACAACGCGACCACGAACCCGCCACATCTCACTGCAATCACTGGCTGCCGGCGGGATTCCTGCCACGTCTGCTTCTATCCAAAGAAACGCGGTTGGGCGTCTCCCCAGCCCGCAACAACGCGCTGCAGTACAGACACGACGCGTTCACCAACCGCCGCTCCCACTAGCCTCCGGGGCTGCCATCACCCACCCATCCCATGTGTTAAGGCTCACACGACCCTCGGACTGCGACACTGGCGTTTCTAGCCTCAAAGGTGGCCTCTGCCGTCAACCTGGCCATGGCGGAGCTCATGGGTCAGACCGCGAGCAACACCGATCTGGACGACCTGGATGCCGATGGCGAATATGAGATGGATGATGTCGAGTACGCGCAGCCTCCTGCTGCCCAGCCCGCTCCCGACACCCACGGTCATACAACCGACGCAGAAGGCTCAGATGTGGACGCCGAGGGCGAAGAGGTCGACGACGACGAAGACGATGCTGAGCCAGTGGGCGATGTCAAGATAGCGCGTCGGGCGTCCGTTTCTGACGAGGAAGACGACTACGATGCCGAAGATGCCGCAAAAGAATCCTCGGATGCCAAGTCCAGCGACAGCGAAGACTCAACAAACGCCGACTCTGAAGAAGAAAACCAATGGCAGGGGAGCGAAGACGGCGACGAAGACGAGCTCGTCAAGTCGTCCAACCCCAATGTGTGCATGTCAGTATTGCTCTGGGCAATTCCAAGCCCGATGGTGTAGACTGACTCGCACCAGATACTGCAAACAAGACGAGGACAACGACCCCAGCCCAGACTTTGAAGAATATCTCTCCTGTGCCGTATGTGGAGACAATGGTGAGTGGTCCACTGCAATTGTTTGGCCTTGGCTTCGGTAGCTGACATGTTGTCCCTGCAGCACATCGGCAATGCGCTCATGGCGCTAACACGCTTAGTCCCGATGACGGTATGCTCTCTTGTTACGCCCAATCCGGCTCCGCTAACAAATGCTAGATGCAAAGCGTTGGCGATGCGACCACTGCCTCGACAATTTCCCAACAGAGGAAGAGGAGGAGGCCCAGCCCCAACAGCCTGCAGCTCGTCGTAGGCATTCTTCCAACAAGCTTACCAAGGAATTGCTCCCTTCACTGCGTGGTGTTGACCCAGCAGGCCATTCTATTTTCAAGGACTTGATCCTTCCGGATGAGCAACCAGATGGCCTCCGTTCGCTGCGGAAGCGCAAGACTTCGCATGGAGATGAGGCATCAACACCTATGCCGTCACGGCAAACGAGGAAAAAGAGAAGACCATCCGAGGCCACTCACTCGGATGCTGCCCCATCAATACCTGCAAACTCACCCAGACCACCGTCAAGAAGCGTGCGGAGTGCTCGTAGTGCCATGGGTGATGGTCATGAAAGTGGGGGCGATGGAGAGCATACTGGATCAGACCGGGAAACCACTCGTTTACGACCAGCACGAGCACGGCGTGGACAACCAAAAAGAACCGACAAGAGGCCACTCGCGTGGATCGAAGAAGCGCAGGGTCTCAGCTTGATTATTGCCTTCCATCTCAACAACGAAAAGGTCCAAAAGATTGTGACTTCGAAACCAAAGAAAAAGATCCCACTTACCATTGAGCAAGAACGACAAGAGAGGCGGCGTGAGAGAGATCGAGAACGTCGCGAGAGAAATCGCCGCGCTGCACAGGCGGCACGAGAATCACCAGAGGCCCCACACTACCCATCTATACATCTCCAATACCCCACGCCTTTTGCAGGTTTCATGGACAAGGAGACCGATGAGTCCAAGAGCAAGCCCTACGGTGGAGTGCTTTCCGAAGCTGATGCGGATACTTCCAAAACATACCCTACGCAAGCCGACCGGAAGCGCTTCGATGACGCTCGGATCAAGGCTGAGGAAGACTGGAAAGCCAAGCAGGCAGCTCTTTACCCACCTGAGCCAATACGGTCACACAAGCAAGCAGCTACTGCAAGCAAAATCAAGTGTGTTAATTTTGGCGGATGGGAGATCGACACTTGGCATGCTGCTCCCTACCCGGAGGAGTATAGCAAGAACAGGGTGCTTTACATTTGCGAGTTCTGTCTCAAGTACATGAATTCCGACTATGTCGCGTGGCGGCACAAGGTGCGTGTATCCCTGTTATTATCCTAGCATTACTAACGAACCTAGCTCAAATGCCCAGCAAAACACCCTCCTGGCGATGAGATATACCGCGACGGCAAGTACTCTTTCTTCGAAGTCGACGGCAGAAAGAACCCTGTCTACTGCCAAAACCTCTGCCTGCTTGCTAAACTCTTCCTCGGCTCTAAAACGTTATACTACGACGTTGAGCCATTCCTATTCTATGTCATGACGGAGAACGACCAGTTTGGCTGTCATTTTGTCGGCTACTTTTCCAAAGAAAAACGACCAAGCTCACTCAACAACGTCTCGTGTATCCTTGTACTGCCCATTCACCAGCGCAAAGGTTACGGACAGTATCTGATTGAGTTTTCCTACCTACTCACCCGTGTCGAGCGCAAAACCGGCAGCCCTGAGAAGCCTCTGAGTGACATGGGTCTTGTAAGTTACCGCAAGTACTGGCGGCTTGTGCTATGTGAGGAGCTACTGCAACAGAAACAACCAATTAGTATCTCAGCCATATCCGACCGCACGGGCATGACTGCAGATGACATTATATCCGCACTGGAGGGCTTGCGGGCTCTGGTCCGCGATCCTATCACCAAAAAGTACGCACTACGACTCGACTTGGAGTACTTCAAGTCCTACATTGAAAAGTGCAACGCCGCAAGCAATCCCAAGATTAATCCCGAATGTCTTGTCTGGACTCCGTACGTTATGGGTCGACTTGGTCAGTATGAGGATGGTCCAGCTCTGCAGACAGTCCAACAGCGTGACGAAGGCGAAGAGAAGCCTGCAGCAGAAGAGGGCGTACAGATGGATGTTGCAAAGACAAATGGCAACAACGGTGGAGACACCGAACCCTTCCCACCTGCTCCTGCCCATGCGCTTGCTGCCGAAGATTCTACCAACGGTGGCTCCCCTGCTCCCGGAACACCCCTCGCAAACGGATCTACAATCGCTCTAGCAGGCTCACACATGGAGGAACCTGCCATTCCACCGACCCGCTACGAAATCTTCCCACCCATCCCCGGCCAACCCGCCCAAAAACGGCGTCCAGGTCGCCCATTCGGGTCGCGCCGACGAACTAGCACACCAAATCGCATCCGCAACACCCCCATGACGATCCATACCGCACCCGTTTCGAAAATCCAACTCTCCCCTAGCCGGGGCGCTAAAGCCCAAATGTCGCCCTCAGCCAACGGAGGCGCCCTCACCCCCGGCACCGTATCCCTTCGCCGCACCCGCAGCCGCCTCGGTGAAACCGTTACAAACGGCGATGAAGTCGAGCACGATGCCTCGCGTGGTGGCGGTGCTGTCAAACCCCTCACACCCAACGGCGGCGGGCGCAGCACACGTAGCTCGGCCAGCTCGTCCCGCGCAAGCTTCGATCTCAAGGGAAAAGGGCGCGAGGTACCGATTCATGAGGAAGACGAAGAGGATGAGGATGAGGATGCAGAAGGAGAAGAAGAGGAGGAAATGGAACGGCATGAGGAAGAGGAAGAAGAAGAAGAGGATGTGGATGGCGAGTATGATGAGGACGAGGGGCTGATGGATATTGATGCAGAGGGAGAGGATGATGACGATGTTGTTATGGGGGGTGCGTGATTCCTCTTGTTTTTTCTTCTTTTCTATATCCCCCCGTCATTTCTTCCTACGTGCGAGTGTTTGTCGTCTTTTCTTCTTCCCGTACTTGAGTACCAGGAAGAGACTGGAATGATTCTCTTTTTCTTTTCTGATAGTCCGTTGTTGAGTTGAGCGAGGGGAGAAGGGAACACAGTTTTCCCATTCTTTTTCCCTTCTCTCCTCCCTCCTCTGTCTTTATTTTCTCACTGTGGTTTCACTTGTACCACTATTCTTATTCACCTTGTCTTATTTCATTTTGCTTCTGCGGTTGTTTTTTTGCGTGCCAGCTCGTACGGCATTTGGTTGGAGATGATACCTTGGGAACTTGTCGTTTATGGGAATGATTGGAGTCTTGGAGGGTTTCTTTCTTTGAGCGTGTGAGTGTGTGTGGATAGCGGTGTGTCAGAAATTGTCGATATGGTTTTGCCATTTTGACTATTTTTTGCATAATATCGAAATAACTAGAGAGTTTCTAAACTGGCAGCGTAATCAAAAATTCTGGTGCTTGTATGTTGTTTTGGCTTGGGTTGTGCGAGCGGTGAGAAGTGGTGACGTGGTGATGGATAGTCTCTTCCCCTTTCTTTGCTGACAAAGACAATGTCGGATACGAGGACGTAGTGGGAAGTTGAACTTGGCGTAGTTTGTCCGACTACTCTTCCTCATCTGGCATCAACGCCCCTACTTTCTACCTCGCTGTGGAAATTTCCACCTGAGAGCATACAAGAAAAGGGGAGAGAGAAGATTCACAAGACAATATAGTCCTCATTATGTACATGTACACAATATCACAACAGAACCGACTTTCCTTGTAAATCCTCAAACACCCAAGTACTCCAGCATGACCACCACTCAAACTCTACACACGTCACTATAACCCTTTCAAATGAACAAAGCAAAGAACACATCGTTTGAAAAAAAAAGTAGTTGAATTACATCTAATGCTCCATCATATCCCATCCATCGCACCCAAGATCTCACTCGCGTTCCACGAAAAACAATCCCAATCGCTAATCCCATTTCAGTTTCGCCAGAAAAAAAAATGTGTCATCGAACATGCCACATACTCATGCCCATATCAGTAAACCTTCTCTCATATTCCCACACCCAGTGCCAAAGTTCCCCCCCCCCCCCCCGAAGAAAAAGTCCCCATGATTTTAGTCCTATCCTAGTAACCCCAATCTCCCCACAAGAACCGAAAGTGTGTACTCCATTTTTCCCCGTATCCATCCATCCATCAGGGCAGTTGCTCACGACCCCATGAAAGACGGGTCATACGCTAGATTCCACGTATAATTCGTATCATGTCTAACCGGCGTCTGCAAGCCCTGATTCTGCATGTTCTGCCCTTGCAACCCCTGGGATTGTAGATACGGCGTGTTCACAAACGGACTGACGTTTTGGTAAAAGCCCGACATGAGACTCGAGGGGTTAGCGCTCTCGACGCTATCTTCACGGCGTTTCTTAGCGAGCGGTTGTTGTTGCTGCTGCTGCTGCTGGTCGCTAGTAATGTCGCCGCTGCCGCTGATACTCCGCTTGTTGCTCATCATGCCGCGTGCTTCCTTGCGGAGGCGCAGACGGACACCTTGGTCTGAGAAGGCGCGGGAGAGGTATGTGGATTCTTCTAGACCCTTGAAGTCTTTGGGGAGGACAACGTTGAATTTGTCGGATAAGACGTGACCGAGACAATGGAATGAGCCATATTCTGGGGGATCGATGGCGCCTTGGTAGTGCTCTAGGTCTTTATGTTGTTCGAGGTCGGCGAGGGTGAGGTAGGAGGGTTGGAGTTCGTAGAGGGTGAAGCGGAGGCGGTAGGTGCCTTGGACCTTGATGGAGATGTCTCCAAAGATGAAGAAAGCGCCGTCTTTGTTGTTGACATCTTTGAGGCGGTGGAGCGAGGACACGAGTGTGCCTGCTAGGATGTCGAAGGGTGTGCCTTCGATTGGCTCGTCTTTGTCGTGCTTGTAGAGGGAGACGCTGACGAAGAGGTAGGGGTTTTGTAGGAACTGCTGGCTGGGGTCTATCTCTGAGCTCACTTTGAGTTCGAGCATGGGTGGTGGGTCAAGTGGCTTCCTGAATTTCTCCTTGCCCTTGACAGTGACAAGAGCCTCCTTGGGCTGTTGCCGTACAGACAGGAAGCATGATGATGGACTCAGTGCACCTGCTGTTGTTGTGTTTGTGATGGGAAGCGAGAATATCGGCGACGGTGTGGGGACTTGGGGTTGTTGATATGGAACATAGGCTCGTTGTGATGGATATGATGCTTGCAGTGAGTAATTATAAGAGAACGCCATTGTCGTGGCGGCGCAGTCGTGGACGTGGTTCTAGAACAGGCTTCGTCTATGGTTGTGTCGGTGGCAGTTGCAATGGTAGTGGTAGTGGTAGTAATGGGGTTTGTTGTGGTAGTGGTCAAGGTAGTGGCAAGTCTTCGTGGGTGTGGTTGTCGAAGTGCTGTGGTTGTGGCTATGAAGCTGGTGTGTAAGTGTTCTATGGTAGTGCAGCCGACCTGGGCTGTGGTTGAAGGCAATGGCGACCTATATAGTGCCCCAGAATATTGAGAACAGACGAATGTGATGATGTATCGATATGCGGTAGCGAACGTTGAGGTGATGATCCAAGAGGTCGGGCCAATTGAACAAAGGGCAGTGCAAGGTCGACGAGCCGACTGGCAATGGTAAACGTGGTATGAGTCGTAAAGGGACGGTTCGCATGAGCGCTACGCCTATCAGAGCCCTCTGTTTGTAGGGCAGAGGTGCGGAATGGTGGTCCCTGACCTGGAAAGTCCAGTCGAAGAGAGGTAAAGTGCCGTTGCCCAGTGTGATGATTTGTGCACTGCCGATTCTGAATTTGGGGTGCACCACTGGGGAGCCTCGTTATGGTAACGGTTTGGGCGGCAGTGGGGACGTTGGTCGGCCTGTTCAGTGGGACCCAACTAGAGGCCCGCTGGCGCCTGCGAGGGATGACTCCACACCCAACGGTAATATCCAAGTCGGAAATGGCGCAGCTTTTAGGAGCAGCAGTAGCAGTGCAAGCAGTAATAGTAGTAGTAGTAGTAATAGTAGTAGTAGCAGCAGCAGCTGTCTGTGTCGCGCCTGTGATGATGAGGATTCGCAGTCTGCACTCCTTCATGTATCGTAATGACAACAACTTTTTCCACGATACATAGCACTTGGGTACAAGTACAAGGTGAAAGTGGTAGCAGGTAAAAGCTACTCAAAGGGGATAAGAGGCAAAGGGTCCTCTTGTGGTGGTAGCGAACCGTGGTAGAGAGGTAATTGGTGTAATTCCGATTGTAGCCACGGACACGTCCGCTTTCCAACGGCGTCGAAGGGGGGGGGGGGGGAATAGGGCTATGCTGGTGGACCAAGTCAGAAACAATGGCGAGCCGCGGAGAAGGTGTTTGGGCAGCGTGGGATGAGTTGTAAAGGTGAGCAGTGGAAGACTGAAATACACACAGCTCTGAGAAGAGTGAGGTCTGATAGCTCGAGAAGAAGCAACGTACAAAGGTAGTGCATGCAGTAGGAGAGCTGGCAAGCGTACTTTGAAGCGTCCGTCAGAATCGGGGCTCCTCTACAGACGTCGTACGGGTCCGTGGCGGCTTTGCTAATGATTCGCTACGCAGGCTCTAGTCTCTGGGAGCAACTTGTGCCGAGCGCGGCCGATCAAGGTTGTAGGGTCCTTGACTAACGTGCGTGCTAAGGGAATGAACGAAGGCGGCGTGGATCATGCGAACAAGCTCTAGTGTAGCCAATGGCAAGAGCGTCTGGGGGTATTACTTCTTTTGTAGCCACGGTTACATCCAAGGCTAGTATCTTTCGCTTGTTGACCAAGTGTCGGTGGATCCCGCTGCTGCTGCCCGTGAGAAACCCCTGAAAGTAGTGATGATGTGTTGGATGAGGTGCTGGACCGTCTTGGAACAGGCCGGTTGGACGGTACAATGGAAAACGAATGTGCTCTGGGCAATGACGGAGTGGGAGCATGCAACAACGACGACGACGAGGGCGACGACGAGGGAGGGCTGGCCAGGTGGTATGCGCATGTGCAAGCGTGCGAATAACGGTTGGACAGAAACAAAACGAGCGACTCGGTGGACTGGGGCAGGGGCAACAACTGTCTTGGGAGGGCAGCAGCAGCGCTGGACGTCGAGAAGCACTTTTGAATAAAGTCGCAGACTCAGCAGGTGTTGTTTTGCAGCTTGGTTGCAGCACCAGCCCGTCTGTGCTATCAGTTCGGAGCGAGGGTGTTCCATGCAGGCGAGCGATGAAAGACTAGGACAGCACAGACGGCGCAGCGGCAGGACCTGAGTAGCAAGGAAGGCCTGGCAGTGCTTGGATCCAACGGTCATCCCAGGTTTGGGCAAGGCAGGGCACTGTCGACGGATATTGAACGAGGGCCCCGGTTGCGTGCGGCGGGAGAGCCCCACGCTCGTAAGCTGGTAAACACCCAGAGCAGGAACACGGGATTTAGCCATGTGGAACACTTTAATTGACGAGGCTACGTATAAACTCCCGTCGACGCCCAATATATCGCCATGTGGCCGTCAGCCAGGCCGTCATGGGCGGCAGTTGGAGACGACACGACACGACACGAGCGAGGCCAACAATGAGTGCGGCCGGGCGAGTACACGACGAGTGCTGAACACGTCCCCAGGCACATGGCGGCCAGCACGTCGACAAGGCCGACGAGGGCCTGATGGCAGCTCCCGGTACGTGCCTTTTACTCTGCCTCGAGGCTCCCAGAGTGGCAGACGGGGTCGAGGCTGGTACATGGCGACACAATGATGATGGCGTCTCACAGCACATGACGGCACACAGGCACATGGACACATGGCGACATGGTACGCGGGAGCAGACTACCTGTCGTCAATCAAAGGGGACCGGGAACGCACAGAGAGCAGTGCAGCAGCCGTGGGTATTGAGCGGCTTCGGCGCATGGGCAGCGAAAAGGCCCAGGAACGAGGCACGGCGGGTGCAGCCAACGAGCTCAGTGGAAGAAGAAAAGAAAAACACAGCAGTGGGAAGCTGGAGGCTAGGCGGGGGGGGGAGCAGAAGAGTTGTCTCGATGAGCAGCAGGACGACGAGGACGAGGAGCATGCACATGTGGGGAGGGATGATCGCCATGGAGTATCGCGGTGGCTGGCATGGTGGCAGGGATGGGGGGTGATGTGCAAGCGAGAGACTGCCAGTCGCGCCGTTCGAGTGGCCCAAGGAAATTCTACGACGTTGCACTGTGTGGCCCGCACCCCCGTTCACCATCCCTTTAGCCACCACGCCGGCCAGCAAATGAGCCTGCTAGCTCGGCAGCCTTCCTCTCTGACAGCAGCACTAGATGTCGCCATGGCCCTAGGCGCCCTCTGCCCGGGAACTGCATCGCAATCGCCATGGCCGCGCCTGATCGCCCATGGCCGTGCCGGGCCTGGTACCAGTCCATGTCCGCCATGCTCGCCCCTCGCCCCCAGTGCCTGGACTGCCCGCCGCCTGTGCTCACGTGCTTGGCGCCTTCACCCTCCGTGCGCTCCCTGGCCGCCCCCCGGGCAGTTCCCGCCTAGCACATGACCGCCCCGCGCCATTGCCGCTCTCCATATGTCGCCAATATTATCCCAACACCCGCCTTGTATGCGCTTAATTTACTTTTTCGCCTGCTATTAACCCATATCCACCGCTGCACAATACCGACAAGTCTCCACCGACCGCCCGCCGCCCATGACGCCCACCAATTCGTACAATGCTCGTGTACTGGCCATTTGACCATGACAAAACATGCCCTCCACAATGGCACACGTTTACAGCAGGGATCGCACAGATGGATAGTTGTCCCGCTTTGGCCCCCATGTACACATCCATCTGGTCCCACAATCCGTCACTGACGCCCATATTCCCCTCGTCAGGCCAGAAACTTTACTCCACTCCAAAAAACCAATCTGGACCGGCTTTGCCTTTGGCTTCTCGAGCTCGCTTTGACAAACCTGCTGGCCACCCCCTCCCTTTGAACCAATGTGGGTCACTGAATGGGTGTAGCTTGCACTTGTATGCTGTGCTTGCCACAGAGGAGCCTTGGAAGTCCTCTCTTCCCCTGCGTCCCATCTGCTCGCATACTAGTAGTGCTCGGCCCTCACACGGAAACCGGTGACTCCAGCTCGAAACATGCCGACCGTGTGCAGAACTTGGACTTGGACTATGCCGTAGACAGCAAATGTGCCTCATGCATCCACGCTTATGCCGCCCTCGTAACTGCCGCACTGTCCGGAGAGATGAGAAATCAAAACGAGCATTTTTGCACTAGCAACCACAGCAGCACCGCGTGATGAACATGCTGCGCTGTTTACTGCACCTACACTTGTCGTGCATCTGAGCTAACAGGTCAGTGACATCAATCGACCTCACTGGCTCCGTATCATGTGTACAGACTCTGCACCAGACGCATGAATCGACCTCAAGTTTGCGGTCAAACATGTACCTCCAAGTACTTTTTCCAACACTACCAAGAGAATGTAGGGGGGGAAGTGTCTATCTTGATGTGAAACCCGACAATGACTAGTCGTGCCACAGACTCGTACTACTCCCTCTGCCTGGCAAAGACGGCGCTCATAGCCTCATGCACCTGACTGAGGCTTGGCAAGATAACATTCGACATGTAGGTACGTACTGGGGCCTACTCGGCACATCATTCGTGCAGTGCCCAAATTTGTGGGCTGCACCGGACTCGGGACAGGCTCCCACGACGTAATCACAGCCCACAATGTTTCAGCTCGCCCGTTGTCCATAGACTACTGTCACATCCATTTCCTTGTGGCAAGAGGGTACCGCGTGACAAGTACTATCAGGCAGTCCTGTCTACGCCTCCTCACATCCTGCTCTAGATCCAGCTCATCGGCCGATGCAAGGCCTTCTCGACTCGCTGTGGGTCATGCAACGGGGCCAAGAAGCTTTGGTAAACGAAGGTAGAGTAGGTGTACACGCACATTGTCACTGGTTCCACACCAAAATACCCATGATCCCGGGAACAAAGAAGATGATGCAGCAGGCGGTCTCAACACCGGCCCTTAGACTCTACTACTCGATTGGCTCTGAAGGTTTTCCGGAGATACCGCAGGCCCAGTTTCCTCGGAGCTGCCTACGCTAGCTGGGCTAGACGGGGGGAGGGGTGCTGGGCTGAAGTTAAGGGAAGAAAATCTGAACTGATGGACTCTATGTACACGGAGACGCCGCCAAGTAAGCTGATAAGTAGACTGCATTGCATAAGCTCACGTCGAGTCACGATCATGAGACTGTACAGAAAAAGGAGGCAAATACGAAAGACAGTCTCAGTTGCTCTGCACAGATGCGTAAAAATGACTCGAATGGCTAGCTGTCGTCATCTTGCCCTCTGCCCCAAGCACCAGCAAAGACTCGACATGCGATTGGCCACTACCACCCCCAACTCGATACGTCTCTACCACGGGTCAGGCTTCCAACGGCGTCGATTTGGGCCCGGCGTTGAAGGTCCAAGAGTCGGGCTCCGCCGCGGGTGGGTGTGTGTGGCTTGCACACCCTTTTCTACTCACTCTCTCACTTGCCGCTGATCAACCATTCTTCTTTATTGCACGTGCGGCGGTACAGCCACACTTGCTTGTGGAATCCACCATTGGCG